CGTATCAGGAATATGGACAAGCAGTCAAGAAATCAAAAATGGCAATATTTGCGAAAAAACGGATTGTTTTTTTAAATCTGATATCAACGAAATTTGAACAAATTATAGGGTAAAAAAGGCAAATCTTTTCGAAAACGGATTGTTTATAAACAAGTCTTATAAAGATATATAGAGTCTTCAAAAAAAATAATATTTTATTCAATTGTTAATAGATGTTCTTAATAATATGATTATATTTCGCATTGGATTAAAAAGCATTGTTGAATTTGAGCTCTGGCAAAGACATCACAAAATAAGTCCCAGCATCACATCGTTCAGCTGGTGGCTGTGAACACCGAACACTTTGCTAATCAGTCAAACTGGACAAGCTCTTACATATATAGAGTATATATATACCTATACGTACACAGACACACGCACACGCTGGCGGAGTCACAGTCACAATCAGGCTGCCCTGGGTGGGCTCTGTCAATGCCGAAACTTGAAGCTGGCCGAAATGTTTGAATTGTCATTTTTTATAATTGGGTCAGCACAATAAGAATTATTTCAGAAAATACAACCCCAAAAAATACTTCCATGCCGAATCAGATGTCACGCCGCAGCAGCAGCCGCACAAGCAACATGGTCGGGCACCAGATGCGACCGGACTGCGGGCTCGTCCAGACCAATAGTGCTGGCGGAAGCAGCAGCACCAGCAGCGCGAGCAGCAGCACCGCTAGCAGCAGCAGCAGTGGCAGTGGCAACGGCAGCGGCAGCGGCAGCGGCAGCGGCAGCGGCGGCGGCGGCGGCGGCGTTGATATAATCAACGGCAACAGCAGCGTGTCCAAGCTGCGACCACTGGCCAGATTGGACCGTCTGCTGCGCCGCTGGCTTCCGGGCTACAACTATTTGCGTGGTGCTGGTGGCGGCATCATCGGCAGCAGCGGTGGTAGGCAATCGCCTGGGACGGGTGCGGTGACGCCACCATTGAATGCAGTGGAACAGCAGCGGTCCGGGCGGCAGACACCGCTCACCGTTGATCCACCGCTGACGGTCAGGAGGCGACGGGATGGGGAAGTGTTATTGGATACGGGCATTGCCAAGTCCGAGTTCTGCTTGAAGTTGGAAAAGCTGCTGCGGGCCAAGCTAATTGTCAAGGATTAGCGGCTAACCTCAGCAGCTGCAACAACAACAGCCAAGAGCACACACACACACACACACACACATGCTCACACATATACACACGCACACAACAAAAATGAAAAAAATCGATGATGGTGATTAAAGAAAAGAAGAATTGAACAGTGTTGCAGTCGTTGTCATAGATATGAATATATATTATATATAAAACAAAACCCTTTTCCCGATAATCACACGCCATAAATTACAGTTAATAAATTTGATTTAAAGTTTAAAATACAACCCGGACTACCCGAGCAGCCAAATAACTGATTATATATATCCCATATAGGAACATTCAATTTTGATTAGCTCAGCATCCTTCCTACCGCATCGCAGTGTCCTGTGTGTGCTCAAGGAACTTACCCACTTTTCGCCCCATTTCGCACTGAAACTTATCTGATTTATGGTCGTTTAGCCAGCGACAATGCTTTTAATATTATCGTAATTATCTATTTATTATGACAATGCATGCAGTATACATACAATACACAAATAAAACGATAAGCTAAGATTATTTTCGGCATGCAGAAGACTCAATACCCTTCTAGACATTTGTCTTACGATTTTGCATATACGTGAGAATAGCGAAGCTATGAAGTGTTTACTTTAATGAAAATTCCTTCGAAAATAGAAATTCGACTCATACATGAGCAGCATAGTTCTGTTTAGCTTAAGAAATTAAAATGTTGACCTTCAAAATAACTGCTTTTCGACCGATCTTTCCTATGGCGTTCCCATATAGTGGGCCGATGTGAACCATTACCGACATTACCGATGCAAAGTTTAAAACTGAGAGACAAGTTTGCATAGAAATACTGATCAAGAATATATATATACATATATATATATATATATATACTTTATGAGATGTCTCTCTCTATGCGTTACACATTTGATGACAAAACTATAATACCCTCTATGAGGTATAAGAAGGGTGCTGAAGTCGGGACTGCTCGACGAGCAGATACCCTCCGTACATTCTATTCTATTCCTATTCTATTTGCTCTCTTTGCTCTACCATATGCATGAGACATGCGTTCTTGATTAACTTTGGTGTTTATAGATCCTTTTGAAATGTTCATTGCTTAAAATAGGCATAGAAAAGTGAGCAAAGCCCAACGCTCGACCTTGAGGAAAGAGTTTATAAATATATAATATAATAATATAATAGTTGAGAAAAAAGTGTTTAAAAGAAAACGAATTCCATTTTGCAGGCAGTTTTTGCAGAGCTCTTTCTAGAATTGCGCATATGAAGTGCTCTGCAAAAATGGGAAAAACCTAAACAAAGTAAGGGTATTTAAGTGGCTGCCACGAAAGGGGCAGAAATTATGTTGGCACAGTTTGTAATTTATGTGGTCTAGAGATGGGCGCGGGTCTCACGAGGTCTCTCGAGGCCCGGCCTGGCACGAGCATAAGCAGAAAACCAGCCCAGCCTGCACGAAAGCCAAAAATCGAACTACTTATGTATTTATTTGGGAGAAAGATTTAATTTAAGAAATTCTTGCACTTAATTGGGCTTTGGTTAATAGATAAGAATGGATATTTAGAGAAAGGATTGTAAAAAGTTCTTGGAATTTCAACGTGCTTTTTTTCACAAAAATCACGTGCCGCGCCCAACTCGAATGTGGCACCACTCGCACTTGCAGCGTTTCAATATATCAATATGAAAATATAAGCAATATATCAATCAGTCCGATGACAAGCACAGACACACGCACACAGCCAACAAAGGGAAGCCGTGAGTGGGCGACGACGGGGGCCGGGCAGTCATTGAAGGGGGGAGGCGCTCATTAAAATTAATTAGAAATAATGGCCGTAAATGCGTAAATTTATAGACATCAAAAACAGATATTAACTGTGGCAACATCAAAATTGTTGGGTAATAAAATAAATATATGCCTGTTTGCCAGTTAAATAGCCGCGTAAATTGCCCAAAAATGAGTTAGCAAAGTGCCCCCAAAGGCCAAGTTGTTAATCAGTCAAAAGCCAGCAACAAATTCAAGGCTTAATTGAAGGCAAAAACAAACAAAAAATGAAGAAAACTTTTGCCAGCCTCTGGGGAGAGCAGCTCGCAGCTCGGCAACAAATTGACAGCCCAGGCACGGCCAGGCTTTGGTCTGACAAGTGGAAGCTATTGATTTGGCTGCTCATCAAATGTCAGCCAAGTAACTCGACACAATAACTGAAATGTGTTTTAAGAAAATGAGTGTAGCGTAAAACTTAGCTATTGTTTCTGATATTGTGCTTAAATTTTGTGCGCTAGCTTGAAAACAAGAAACCATATTCGCTCGTGGCAACAACTGACAACAATATTACGCATACGCCACGGCAGACGAAGAACCACAAAACAGCTCGTTAAGAGGCTGCTTAACTTGTGTGTGTGTGTGTATGTGTGTGGTTAACTCTGCGTGCGTGTGTGTGTGTTTATCTCCCTCTCTCTCTGTGTGTATCTGAAGACCTCTTACAATTTGCTGGCTGAGCACTTGACTTGCGTCGTTTACATGAACATTAAATGTGAGTTTTGCTAACGCAGCTGCCGTTTGCCGGCCGCCAAGCCGCTGGCGCTGCCTGAATGTGCGCCTTGGGCAGCAGCCGCTGCTGACCGCAGCACGGCCAGCTGCCAGAGCACACAGTGTGGCAAGTCGCTGCTCCTGTTTGTCACTCTCAACGAGTGTGGCAACAAAACTGTAGCCCCATTTTTTTTTTTTGGGCATGCGTCCACTCGACAGCCAAATATATGCATAAGTATATATGTATGTATGTGTCTATGTAGACACTCACGCAAATATATGTTAATTTATTTTTGAATTACGACAAATTGAGGGTCACTGAAATGAGCCGCCCAAGCGGTCGGGCGAGCTGAGTTCAAAGGTTGTCGTTTACCCTGCTTCAGCATTGATTTGCTGGCAAACAATGTGCACTCGGTCTGTCAATTGTGCAGGTCATTTGGCATTAAGGTCTTGGCTTCTTCCATATGAAGAGGTTATTGTGCACGCTTGTATTGTGCTGCACAGTCGGGTATTAATTTGTGCTGCACTCCGTCAATTGGCTGCAAAACAATTCCATAGAACAAAAGCTGCATTTGTTTGTATTCTGTTTATTTGGCATTTATTTTGTTTGATTTTGATTTCGTTATCGATTGAATTAAAAAGTTTACATTAAATATTAATTTTTTGCCATTTGTTTTGCCATTTGTAGACGCTATTCATATTATTAATCTAAATAAATTTGTCGTATTACATATATATTCGTATTCGTATTCAGTATTATTTATATGCATTTATTTAATTTAATATTGAATTTGGAAGAAAAGAATTGCTTAAATACATTATTGTTAGTCTTAGCCCAAAAAGGAAAAAACGTTAAATTTTTGTTGCTATTTTGAATATCTGTAAAAGCGCCGCAAAACTGGGCAACAATTTTGTTATTTTTTTTATTATTCGTTTTTTTTTTTTCAACTTTTCGATGTGGTTACATTTTAGTTTTTTGTTTTTGGTGGGTGATTGAATGATTGATTGGTGGTGATTGACTGAATGGTTGTTGATGTTCTTTCTGTAGCTACAGCGAAAATACCTAATCAGAGGCGATTTTGATATGTTTATGTATGCTTTCCGCTTTGAAAAATCCGATTTCGTATGATCCAAACAACATTTTCAATATGATATTTTAAGATTTTAGTAAAAGAGTCAAGTTTAGATATCATATTAGTTAAGTTTTTAAGTTGGATTCGTGCTCGGCTTGTCTCGATTTATAAATACTTTTGATTCAATGTTCAATTTTAAAAGAGTGAGAAAGAGAGAGTAGACTATTAATTAATTTATTTATCGCTTTGTAATTACTATAATTAAATTTATGTGAGCTTGCTTGGCATCTGTATAATATTTATATTTTTAATGCTGTGGCCCAATGCACATAAAGTAAAGTATTTTTTTTTTTTTTTTTTTTGATTTTTTTCTATTAATTATTATTGGAATTACTTGTGTATTATTCATTGGAATTCGTTTAGCTGTGCGTAAGGAGCAAATGGCATTTGATATCTGAAAAGTTGTTCTCGCCAATATGAATATGGATGTGAAGCTCAATCGTAGCTCAGCGAGACCGTCGACTTTGGCGTGGGCAGCGGTGATGTAGTGTTCTCCTCCTCGTCATCGTTCTCCTGCGAGTCCTCCGGCTCACCGAGTGCGTGTACAAACTCATAAAAATCAATGCGTCCATCCCCATCCACATCCACCTCCTTGATCATGTCCTCAACTAGAGAAAGTAACGAAAATAAATTAAGCTACAGACATGGCCTACATTCAGATGGATGCTTTAAGTTCTTCAAGTTGGTGGCTACGGTCGAGTATGCCCGAATCGGAGATACCCTGCTGCTAAATTAATAAATAAATAAATAAATTTTTCCAAATTCCAAGCGGTTGCACAGACGGACCGACCGACATGAAATTTGATGACTTCGTTAGTCTATCGGAACCAGAGATGCTTCCCACTCACATTCGTACAAAAACTTGGTGCCTTTTTGGCTCAAAATAAATACGTACTGTCTTCCTCGTCGAGATCCTCGCCCAGACACTGCAGCACGGCACGTAGGTCGGAGGCGGTTATGTAGCCACGATTGTGCTTGTCGAAGACACGAAAGGCGTCGCGCAGTTCGCGCTCCTCCTGGTCAGCCGAGGATAGGCCCGACTTGTCCTCGTAAGTCATGTTGGAGAGTATGTCGACGAACTCCTCGAAGCTGACATTGCCGTCACCTGCAAGGGTGCAAGGATAGAGATAGGGATAGAGAGAAAGAGAAGAAGCGCCGCAGTTAAGCGCTAGTTAGTTGGGTCTACCCACCGTCCACATCAATCTCCTGCAGCATCTCCTGCAGCTCCTCGACACGCGCAAATTGTCCCAGCGAGCGCATAACTGTGCCCAGCTCCTCTTTGGTTATGCAGCCGTCGCCATCCTTGTCGAACAGACGAAATGCCTCACGGAACTCTGTATGGCATATGTGGACAACATATTGACAGTCGGTCGGTCGCTCAAACCCCAATATAAACTTAAACTTACCACGCATTTGTCCTTTCGAGATGCACCGACGCTTGTCCAGCGCATCCGCATCCGCCTCGCCATGGCCGGCATCTACCGCATAGGAGCTGGCCCGCTGCGAGAATTGGCGTGTTTTCGCTTTGCGCTTGCTCCGCAATGTTCCAGTCTCAGTGCCCATATCTACTGCAGCTTTGCCAGCTGGTGCAGTTGCTCGCACGCTTAGCGCTGCTTTCAAGGGTGCACGCTGCGTGGCTAGCTGCTCGTAGTCATCGTAGTCCTCCCCATCCTCCTCCTCCTCTTCCTCCTCCTCGTCGTAGTCATCTGCATCTTCGTCGTTATACTGCTCGTAGACCACTTGCTCGCCGAGATTCCGCTGCGCATAGCTGACTCGAGAGCTGTGCCGGGTTGCGCCCGAAGTCGTGCCGCCGCTGGCCGCCTCGCACGAGCTGGAGTCCGTATCCGCATCGGAGGCGGCATTGCTAGCTCCACGTGGTTGTTGTTGCTGCTGCTGTTGTTGTTTCTGTTGGGTTATCACTTTCTTGCGTTGTCTTTGACGACGTTGCGGTGGCTTTGCCGCTGGCTGCTGTCCCTGCAGTTCGTTTTTGTGCCGTTCTGGGCCAACAGCCGGCTGCTGCTCCTGCTGCTCCTGCTCGTCGTCTGTGCCCTCCGCCAACTGCTCCTCGTCGGGTTCATCGCCACTAAGCGGCGCGTTCCTCGTCTATCGGAAGAGTGAGCAACTTTTTTATGAACAGCAGCCGAAGATCACATACCCTGGCAGACATTTCACAGCTGTCTGATATACCTATTTCCCTCATAGCTCTATCTGTGCTGTCCTGTGCCGATATTCGTATACCCGAAAGTTATTCAATATGTCAATTAATTTTTGCCAAAAAGCCAATTGACACGAACTAAGCAAGAACTGCTTCAACTAGTCAGCAATTTAATTGCCAAGCTCTTGTGTCTAAAAGAGAACTAACCAAATATGATTAACAATTTCTAAGATCATCAAACTTTTGTCCGTTAATGGGAGCTGTTTCAGCTTGTTCGGCTATGGAAGCTGTCCATAATGGGGGATTTCCCTGTATATGACATAGTCTGATATCAAGCTTTACCGAAATCTCGTCAGATATGTGAAAGACGGATTCCGTGCTTCAATTTTATGCGATTGTTTAAACGCGAGCTATGTATATGTGTATCATACATAAACGAATTGCTCAGTTTCGAAAAGGAAGATTGAAGCTTAGACAGGCGAAGCCATACGGTCATACTTCGTTCGTCTTTAAGAGACCGGGGTAAATAATATCTCTTAGAGGGTCATCGGGATGGGGCCTTACCATTAGCTGCCTCAGCTCACGAGCAATGGTTGAACCAGTTAAAAACTTGTTAACTGCCGTGAAAAGGCGTTTTCCTTCCAATTTGACGGCCTTGGTTGCGACTGCTTTGGACTTTAAGTACTGCTCCTGCTATTGAATGTCCAGCAGCTGGGGCCAATTATGGGTCTCTGTCCGCACTCTAGTTAGCCCGTATCACGCTCAGCGGTTGCGGCAAACATTCGATTTTGTTGATTAGACGCATTTGTGTCAGACCTCCGTTTGTCCTACTGCCCGGCGTTGCGCGTCCTGCTGCAGCCCGTTCGGAAAACGCTGCAAATACAATTGAAAAGAGCAAAATGATAATTAAACAATTTACTCGTTGAATGCAGTTCAATTGGATGCGTCCAATTGGTGCCAGCCATGTGCCCCGATCGATGCCGTCAACATTCGCATTCCCATTCGCATTCACATTCAAATTGGCACGTTTCTAATTTCTAATTTCTCTGTTTCTGGCTAACGGCCCCGACGTGCCCGGCTCTGAATGGACCTGGGACTGGGCCTGAAGGGAGGCAATGAGTTCACGAAACAATAGGTGGACACACACACGCTCGCACACAAACTAGCTGCTGCCTGTCAGCTAATCAAGCAGAAGTTGGGAATCATCATGCAAATTGTATGACAGGCAGTTTAGCAGCTACCTGGGGACACGGACGGAATTAGCTATTCGGTTGGAATTGTGGCTTGGGGTTTGCGCAACTGGCAGCCACAAGCTCAATGCAACATTGTGTTGCAGTTAATTCAACAGCCGATGGTTTCGCTTTAACCATTATATATTCTTTTGCTGCGCATTTACTATGTAATCCATGCATCCATGTTCAGTTTATTGCCTCATACAGTAGATCATTTAGTCTTGTTAATTATTCTATTTTTGGTTTTCTTGTTTTTATTTTTAGCTACGCGCGACTTTTGAGACTACAACAAATAAACCCAAATATCCTCCATGATCACTTTATAACAACAATCAAAGGTATGTCGCAGAGCTTTAAGTAGAAAAATTTGCAATATGATTTACTCTTGTACCCTTAACCCTTTGTCTATACTCTTTTCTTCCATGTTCAGTTTATTGCATAACTTTTTTGTTTTTGTTTACTTTCAGGTAAGTACGACTTTCAAATTATAATACACTCGTCAAATAAACCCATACGTCCTCCATGGTCACGTTATTACAATAGTCAACGCACACAATGGTACGTCAATGAATTATTAATAGCAACTACTATACTTCTATTTGTACTCTATACGTCTATACTATATATTTACTTGCTATATTTATAATTTTGCTAAATGCGTCTATATATATTTTAAATGCATACAACACTCGAGGCTAAAGCACTATTTAAACGACCTACACGACCTCCATGGTCACTTTACTAAAACAATCAACTCAGCTTTATGCTTAAATATGTTGCAAAACTCTTAGTCTATTCTCATAATCTTGCTTCTATTACATTTGAATACATTACTACATTACTACTTAAGTTATTTAATGGCAGTTAAAGAAACCCACGCGTCCTCCATGTTCACTTTGTTACAACAAATAACTGGGTCAACGGCATGCCAACAAACTTTATGCAAGGAACTTCCACAATATGCTTGAATATATTGTCTAATTCTTTGTCTCTACTTGTGCTTTTGTCCTCCATGTTCAGTTTATTGCAACAATCGTGTGTTGATGTTTAAGTGTCAACTGCTTTTAACTGCATCACATGTATGTACATGGAAACTTTATCCATGTTCACATGGTAACAATAGAAAGCCAGTAAATATATGATTGGCTGGCTATATTCGAACTATTCGCATGATTCACATTGAATCGCCGACCTCCATGGTCACTTTATTGCAATAGTTGATGCTTTTGCAGAGTAATTGAAGTACGACTAGCCGGCAGAAGTCCACTTAGCTAACGCTGCGAAATGTGCATTTCATTGTCTAAATGATGATCAACATTCAAATGAAGAAATTGTGGATACTCGAGTCATCCAACAAGTTGGACGGCGATTATCTCTGGCTGTTTGATAAGCCGCGTCCGCTTAGGAGCCTTAGGCGATGACTTGGCACGTCTTGTTAATGTGTTTAATCTACGTGACACGAGAGACTCTTGTCTTGCACGCAAACGTTCCTGCACTCTGGCCTCTGGCTGTCATCGAGGCGCACAGGGCGTATGTGTAATATGCCAAGACTGACAGCCAACAAGCAGCCATAAATGTTGGCGCAGTGATTGTGATTGATGTGCTGGCAGGACAAGTCAAGACAGACAATACACAAAGAAAGGGAGAGAGAGAGGGAGAGGGGAGGGAGGGAGAGGGAGAGAGCGAGAGAGAGAGGCCAACTCAGTATGCTGTCAGTGATTCGAGCAGGCTGTGACTGACTTTCTGTTTATGGCATTTGTTGTTTAGTAGCCAAACATTTCACATATCCAATATTTAGTTTTCACATTTCGACATTTTTTGTTTGTTTTATTTTCGGTTTTTTTTTTTTTTTTTGTGTGTGAGTTTTTCTTTTTTACTTGCGATGGATAAGAAGCATGCCTCATGCATGAACATGCATACTAATCGGAACGTGAAGCTGCTCATCGAGAAATTCGAAGGTATGGGCGAGCGCAAGGTGGAGCTGGTAACGGGCAAGAAATCGGACTTGAATATACAATCGCTGACTGGACGTGTGGCCGAGACGGTGGCCAAATTTGAGCATTGCAGTTTCTTGGGGCATTCGCGGATCCAGCTAACATGTGGAGATCAAGCCACCGAGCGCTGGCTGGCCGAACTGAAACAAAAGATGCTCGGCACAGTAGCTCAGTCGTCTCAGATTGCGGTGGTGATTGAGGAGCAGCAACAGGAAACTGGGCAAAAGATCCACAATGAATGCCTAGACTTGGATGTGGATAGATCCAAGCACAAGCTATCGTTGGATTGCTCAAGCACAAGCATTTTCAATCCCAACTTTGACCTAACGGCAATACCCAGCTTCAATGGCTTTGAGTTCTGTAAATATCATGCGTTCCGCAAATCTGGACTCTACTTTATGTACACTTCTCCTATATTAAGCTAGCCCATTGATGCTCTGTTCCCTATCTCGTCAGGTGATGCGGAGTGTCTATTCGTGCGGCCGAGCCTTAGTTGCACTTGGTAAATGGCTCGCACACGTCTGGTGCCGCTTTCTACCATCGATTGGACGCAGCGACAGTTCCATAAAAATGCTCTATCAAAATTAGACCCTTACCACCAGTAGTTCGCAATTTAGTTAGTTTTTACGATTGGATCCCAAACCAAGGTCACGGCTGGGACGATAACCCAATTTTCATGTACGTCTCGTGAGACCATTACAAATTATAGTGTATGTTGAAAAATTTTCGATTACGTTAAATGTTGCCGTGTTTTTAAATGGGAACCGGGAGCTTGTCTACACCTGGGGGTGGGAAACAGGCGGTGGGCGGGGGGGGGGGGGGGGGGGGGGGGGTGGTTGTAGTAAATGAGGCGATAGCAAAAGCAAATGTTGAGGCATCTCTCTATCTGGGCTTGGCTTAATAGAAGCAAAGATGAGATAAATGAATGGAAATTAAGAGCCAATAGGCCACCTAGTCTCCGCCCACATTGGTCAGGAAAAGAAATCGAGATGCTCAAAGTGAAATATCAAAAGCAAAGTTGAGATAAATGAAAGGAAATTAAAGGCCAATTGGATGTAATTAGCAGAAATATACCAAGGGAGCCAACCAAGTATATATTGAAAGCAGAAATGAGCCGGGCATCAAACAAATCCAAGAATCAATAAAGTCATCTGCTCGCAACAATTTAAAGATACATCATAAAAAAAAAACCCAAGGAAAATTGCTCGGAAATCCCACAAAATTAAAGAGGGAATAAGTCGGAACAAGCGCAAGGCACCATAATAAGCCCAGGAGGCAGAGGGCAAGAGAGAAAAGGTAAAGGTGGGCTTGAGAGACACGGGTAAGAACCATCGAGAGGTTTTAAAAGCGGGCCAAAGCGCAATTGAGTTCATTCCAAGCGAAAGATTTATTTGCCTCTTCTTCTTTTCTTCATTTGGTCAAAATTTAAATTGGATTTCAATTGCTTGTGCGCACAATGTTGCAACATATTTCATTTCGCGCACATTTAACCACCTCGCAAGGATGCCCCAGGACGACATCACCATCACCATCATCATCATCAACATCATCACGAACAACATCAGCGGCTGCTGGGCTGCCCGCACAATAAAATGCCTGCGTGCTTCCAGTGCGGAAGGATGTGACGGACATGGCCCACATGCAGCTGCAGGCTGTCTCCGTCTCTCTCTCTTCGTGGCTAGCTGGCTGGCTGGTTGGCTGGCAGACCGCAAAATAAATGGCCAAAAGGAAGTGCCAAGGCGACAACAAGGACGAGGTCATTGGACAGCCAGCATGCCCAAGCATCGAATCCTTCTCTTTGCCAAGCAATTTACATCGCCCACTCTCTCCCTAACTTTCCCTCTTTGCCACAACATGCAAAATGGCCACGAATACTGATGGATTTACATGCCAGCAAAACCACTCACACACACACACATGCACACATGCACGCCCTTATATAATTACCGTTAACCTGGTCGTTAAGCGGTTAAAATATGCCATCAACTGAATTTCTGGGGCTTGGTATTTGCATTTAAGTAGTTCGAGTAGCTGCCTTCAAATCATCATCATCATCATCATCATCATCATCTTCATCTTCATGTGCAAAAACTTTTTACTCATTCTGCAATTCCAATTTGCATTCCACACACACACACACACACACACACACTCGTGCACATACACGCACAGGGACACCTTTGGCAAGTTTTATGACATCGCCACAAAAAACAACAAAAATGTAAACTGTCTGTTTGTCGGGAGCCAGGCACACAGCCCACCCATCAAAATTGTCAGCAACTGACATGAAATAAATGAAGACGCCGCTGACACGCCCACGCCGCCCACCTTGCCCCACTATGCGGCGCGTCACTAATGCGCTTTGCATAACTTTGTCAGCCGGCAGTTGATTTGTTTATTAGCAGCAGCAGCAGCAGCTCAGAAACTGAGGCGCCACCGCATCAAGTTGCAAGTTAAAAGTTGAAGCCAGCTGCTCCAGCAGTGAGTGGCAGGAGGACAAACAGAAGCTGAAAACGGGAATGGCTACTTTAAGTGATGAGCATTTGATAAATGAAATGAAGTTAATGTGCAAAGTTTATAATAGAACCTGAACGAACAGCAGAAACAGCTGGCAGCAGCTCAACCTGATTTGCGCTTAACGATCCTCAAAAATCGGTGGATACTGGAGTATTTACTTGAAGACTGCTATAACTCGAAAAATACAGCATTGATTTGCAGACGAACAAAATCTTATCATCTTACATGGAGCTAAAATACGTGAATATCACATTTTCACAGAGCATTAAGTGTGATAAAATTAATACCTCTTCATATTTAACATCATCATATTTAAATCGCGTCAAAGAGCTTCGCAACATGTTCAAAGTTATCGAGCACATTTAAAACAAACATCACCTTATATATACCAAAGTATTTTTGTGACTTTCTTAGCTAACAAATGGCAACTCTTTTGACTGAGTTTTATCAGGAGAATCCAGCTTAGCTAGACTTGCTTAATACGCTGAAACTGGTTGCGCTTCCTTGAAGAATTCTCAGTTAAATGCACTGGTACTCGACTAAAAATTGTGCAAGCTGGTAACTCTCAACAGCATTGCCAACTAAATTTGTTGTCCAACTATTATTATTTACTCAACACTATTTCGCTTCATTTGAACTTTGCTAATGATTATGTGAGCTGGCAACTCTAAGCAGCATTGCCAACTATGTCTTGTCTTGGTTGAGCTCCTTTGAAGAATTATCAGTTAAACGCATTTAGGATGGACTTATAATTATGCGAGCTGGCAACTCTCAACAGCGCTAACTATTACAATTTATCCAAAACTGTCTCCTCTCATAAACTTAAGTTGCATTTTTCTTGATTTGCTCGCAGTTGTGGCAAAGCATTTTGAATAGGGCTGGCAACAAAGGCTGGCTTGAGTTATTGTTAACTTCAATATGCATGAGCCGAATGCAGTTTGATTATATTTTAAGCTTAATGTCAATTTCAGGATGCTAAAGTTGATTTTCTTTTAGTTTTGATAGCTAAGTTTTGCCCAAAAACTTTTAACAAGACTATAAATTGCTTCGTAGTATATTATTAGCTGTTCGCAAACTTTATGCAAGTATTAAAGCTGTTGAGTATAATAATGTTGAGCCCGCCGTCTAGCAAGGGCCTCAAATTAGTTTTAACAAGAGCTGCCCCACAAGAGGTGCTCTGTTAGCGGCGCACCACCAAAACTCGTTGACACGCCCAAAATGTGGACCCACAATCGGCATGCGGTTGACCGCACAAAGTACGTATGAACCACATGGATATTGTTAAAGCCGTAAAAGCACCAAACGAGCGGCGAAAACAACAAAAGCCGCAACTGTTTTTGGCGCCCATTTTATTGTTTAATTTGAATTGTTGCTGCCGAGCGTGGGCCAGGGGCAAGCTTAGTGTTGTGGGCGTGACCGCAAAGTAGTAAATCAGTTGTGTTTTATTTTATTTGATTACTTTTTTTCTGTTATTTAACTGAGAGTCAACCTCGGACGCTGCTCTGGCTGTCAAACATGCCGTATGCGTAATATGCCAGCAAGTAGAGAACCGAGCTGAACAGAAAGAAGACTGACGCAAAAACAACAATGGCAATATGAACGCTGCAAAAGTTTACACATTGCCAACGCATAAATCACATGGCGCCAACCAACAAAACAAACAAATAAATGAATAAACAACAAACAAACAGAAAAAAAAACAAACAAGTACACGCATACGCATACGCATACAAAATATGGGTGGCAAGTCCATGCGAGCGGCACGCCCAGCCCGCCCAAAATGTGTGTGCAACACGTACAACTTGGGACATAAAATTGTAGCAACTCAAGCGTAACGCAAAATAAAGCATTGTTCACATGTCCACATGTGTTTATGTGTGCGTGTGTACGAGTGTGTGTGTGCGCTTGCAATATTTGACTAGATTTTTATGAGTATTGAGAGTACTTCTCTGAAAGGGTTGCAGCCAGCAGAGAAAGCCTGGAAAAAAAAGTAAATAAAGACAACGTACAAACACATCTTAGACACTGCGAAGAGTGCTGATTAAGCAAGCAAGAGTGCTCGACTGCGAGTTACCCTGTACGAAAGATTGCAAGTAATATAAAACATTAAAAATCAAGAAAGAGTACTTCAGTCGGAAATGCCCGGCTAAGGGATAACCTGAACCTACGAAAACCAAATGTAGCTCGTGTTAGGGGGATATTGTTATGAAATAAAAGATATTTTATCTGTCTATACCATTCAAGAAGTTCAGGGTATATACATATGAAAACTATAAATTTTGGCATATTCAGAGCAGCTGCAATTGACTGCAAAAGTAGCTAAGCAAAAGAGCAGACAAATGAAAATGATTAACTGGAAAATACCCTGTACATGTTTAGAAGGAATTCAATCAATGACAATTGAAATTCCATTATGCACTTAAATCAATTATATTTCTCGAGGGAGTTCAGACTGGTAACTGCTTTGTTGATTATGTATTTTGATTAGTTGAAATATGGACTCAAATCTGTATGTTCGAAAAGCGATAGATATTTCTGTACGATGTTTAGTATTTAGCTTTGGTCTAAAATCAATAGGTGATTCGCTATAAATTTAAATCCATCAAAAAAATATGAAAATCTTAAATCAATAACCAAAGACCTACAAAACACAAATTTGCATTAAATGTGCTATGACACTTTATATATATACATACAGAAATAAGAAATGAATATATTTTGCATGGATTCTAAAGAACTGTATAATATATTTTTCAGATTAGGCTCTATATAACCCTACATAAAGCCTTTGCACAGGGCATACAAAATCATAGCCTACTTAAATGGGCTTCCAATGACAAAACAGCTAATGATAATGGTAATCGAAAGCAAAGTCGTGTGTGTGTGTGTGTATGTGTGTAGGTCTGTGTGCGTGCGTGTGTGTCAAATGGTGTTGCCATTATTGCTGGTGTCGTCTTTTATTGAGCTAATTTGCTGTAAATGAAACCAGAAACGCAGCAATGCGTTTTGCATTTATCTGTTTCTGACAGCGGCCCGCGTGACGACAGCTTTATGGATAATTGAGTTTGAATGAAATTTAAATTGATAATAAATAAAATAATAAAATATGCAAATGTTTAAGGCATAGCATTTATAGGAAAATATCTCTCGCTGTCTCTGTGTGCGTGTGTGTTTGAGGACTGGGCGTAGCCAAAAATTCACTCAGGGCCATCAAAAGGCAGTT